TTCATAGGCTGTGACACACCTACGTATGTGAAGTGCAGGCAAATACACAAGAGCAGGCCCCCAAGACTTGTGTGCAAACAAAACAGCATTTTTGGAATACAGAAAGTTATTTTCTTCTTATTCAAACAAATTTGGCTAGTGTCCCTTTAAGCAGGGAAGAAAAGAACTTGGAATTGGAAACATTATTCCAGAAATCTCCTTGCCAGTGGAGAGAAGGAAATTTTCCCTTGTGAATGGTAAAGAAGAAACATTTCTGAAGAATTTAAGGGAGTCTAAGTTTTCATCTAAAAAGATATAAGGGTCTACTCTTCATGGTTCCAAAAGAAGGCCTTCTAAACATATACAAATGCAGTTTTTGTTTTCTGAATATGCAGGAAACAGCCTGAAGAGAGAGATGAATTTACAAATTTAAGGCCCCAAACCCAGCCTGAGCACTAGGGAGTTCTGCCAGAGATTGGAAGAGGAGGAAAACAGGACACTGCATCAGTACAGCAAACAAGGCCACGAGCTCCAGTTTTAGGGCTAAGGACTATGCCACTAGTGTCCTAACTACATGCAGAAGAATGGTCAGTTATTCTGTACAGCAGCAATCAACCTCAGCCAAAGTTTCTGCAGCACAATAGCATGCAGAGCTGGATTCTAGTGTGCATCTCTATATATGCCCACCATGTCCTGTCCCCTCACATCTTGCTCCACAAAACAAAACCTGTAAGAATATTCTGTGGGAACAAAATAGGAACAGGATTTGGCCTCAAGAGAAGTATATACTCCCTCAATTCTTCTCAGCAAGTGAAGATTCTCTCAGTTTTAGTTTTATATTTCAAAACTAAACTTCTGTATGTCTGGAACTTCCAAGATAATTCCACCATCTCCCAGACTGCCCTCATACTTCATGTGCACTTAATTGTTCACTACTGCTCAATCTAATGAGATACTGGATGACTTGTAAGAAAGCTGATCAGAAGCTTCCGGAAAGTTAATGATAGCTGAGAAAGTTCCTTCTATGTTCTGAAAGTGAAATAAGACTACCAATTTCTACTTCACTGAAGAAAGAAAAGGGGATTGAGGAAATGTTCACATGAAGCATCATACAGAATATGAAGGAAATGAAAGCAAACCAAATAAAGAGAAAGGGTTAAATTAAAAAAAAAAAAAAGGAGGCAAGCTCTCAATTCCACTACATGTGAAAAAGATAAAAATATATTTTCCTGAAGTCAGTGGGGAAGTCTGAACGCCAAGCAGGATCCACAGCAGATGTAAAGTGAAGTAATACAACTCTGGCAATTTCCATTTTTCTATTTCTGTTGGAGAAGCCCACTAAAAAAGTTAAGCCTACCAAAAATTCTGAGAGAGCTGGAACAGCAGAAGTAAGGAATGAACTACTGCCGCATGACCAAGGAAGTGTTGAGGAAGGACTCCACCTACCCTGGCAGGACAGCAGAAGCAGACAGACAGTCTCTTTCCACTACAAAAACAGAGTTGGTTCTTGAATTAGGATCCATTAGAAAACAGCAGGTAAATAGTTTCCTTATAACGCTTTGCCAATTTGTAGCAAAAAAGAAAAATTACCTCACTGGACTCCCTTAACAGTGATTTAGTACCTTCACTATAATTCTGAACAGTAACCTATCCTATCAAAAGTTATTAAAATTTCTCTTATTAGAAATTTAGGTAATGTCAGCCCTATCATGCTTAATTAAGGCAACAGAGGGCTGGTAGAACCCTAAACTTTAATTTAAAACATTATTTTCTAGCCCTTTTCCTCAAAGACTGACAGAATGTAACCCAGCCATTAAGAGGGGCACTATTGGAATTTTTTTCTTCATAAAGAGACTTCAGAGCTTTGTAAATGAGAGCTTCACATGTTGAGAACCAAGAGGCCACCTAAAACTTGTTGGAGGTTCTTCCCTCCTGTGGGCTTAAAGAAAACTTTAAAAAAAAATCCAACCTCTCATAGCACACACACATAGTGCACATACTGCCAGAGGCCTGGTCATCCTGTGTATTTTATAGTTCTGTTGCTGCTCCTTGGCTTTGCTCTGGCATGGAGATTTGTCCTAGGAGTAACCCATTTCCTTCATTTACTAAACCTTAGCATTCCAGTGACCATTGGAGAGATGAGACTGGGTGTGCTCTCTCCCCATGGCAAAATTAAATCCAAGAACTTCTTTATGGGACCATGTGGAAGCATGGGGAACTACAACTGCCTCACACCTTGTAATGAGTCTGAGTCACAAAGAGACAACATGGGCATATGCCAGAAGAACAGACCTGAGGGTGGGGACAGGAGGCGAAGACACAGGATATCTTACCTAGGGGATCCTGACTCTAGAGCTGTGGAGTGTGCATAATTAACCAGACAGGTCAGTTCAGCAATGACCAACTGCAGCATGGATAGCCATAGAAAAACTAATTGAATTGAAGTATTTATATCAGAATGGCAACTCATCCACATGGACCCTGCACCAATGAATTCCAACAAAACTGAGTTAAGTCAGTGAAGTGAAGTGGCTTAATAATTTAGTTAGCAAGATAAGCAGACAGAAGCTCAGGTGTGTGCGGACACAAGGCAGATTGTGCTGGAAAAAGAAAAGTGCAACTTCCTTGTGTGGACAAGTCTCAAAAAAAGGAAGTGTTGATCCACCTCCTTCCTCCACCTCCTTGTTCTCACTTATCTCCCCCTCAAGGCCTACAGACGCAGGGATCCCCTTCCTATGACATTAGGAAATCTGTAGAAGGAAAGGGAGCCTCTTGGAGGGTAAAGAAATCATTTTCTTTTCTGTGGATTTAAGAACCACCCCACACACACTAGGTTCATCAGCCAACACACACCCCCCAGCCAGAAGCTGCTCCCTCAACGTACGCCTACACTACAATGAAAAACCTGCAGCTGGCCCATATCGGCTGACTCAGTCTGCAACGCTGTTCCATTGCGGTGTAGACTTCTGGGCTCAGGCTAGAGCCCAGGCTCTAGGATCCTGCAAGGCAGGAGGGTCGTAGAGCTCAGGCTGAAGTCTGAATATGTAAACACTAGAAGATGTAAACCAATCTGTGTATTAAAGTGCCTTTCAGATGCTTCCTTTTATGGTGGGTAAAAATTAGCTTTCAATCTAAAGTGTCATCTTAATGTTAATCATTTAAAACCACCATTCATAAACTCTCACATTTCAGAGAAGGTACCAGTGGGCCTCTAATGTTAACTTGCCCAAAAAACAAACTGTGCATTTCACATTTTCAGAATGAGTATTTGTATTATGCTAGCTTAAACCTGAAATGCTAGGTCTTTAAGCTATGGTGTTAATCATCATCAGGCAATTTGCAAAGGCAGTTAGGGTCAACAGTTTGAACTACCTGGTGCATCTGACAGCATACTAACAAGACACGAGTACTCACATACAACGAAAGTTTTTGGTCATTGCTTTGCTTTTGCAAGGCAATCAGGTATCAGAAGGAAAAAAAAGTGTTTTATGCATTTCACCTGCTGTTTTTGAAGAGTTCAGATACCATTTTCTACTCTAAGGTTAAAAGAATTCAAAAAGGACAAAACAAATATACTCCCACTTTTATTCACCCTATTAACCCACCAAACAGGTTAGTGTAACATAATATGGTCAGTGCTAGTAGAACAGAAGACCAGGACTCATTTTACATTCTCATTTGATAGTCCCTTACTCTGCTGCCTCGAATATCTCCAATTTTATGTGACAGTCTTGAACAAACTAATATGCAATTTAACAGTTCTTTCAATACGAGGATCTCAAAGAGGTTCACCAAAAAAAATAAAATAAATAAAAAACAAACAAACATCAATGAATTAAGCCTCGTATCTCAAGGTGCTGAGGAAATATTACTCCCATTTCAAGAATGAGGAAACAGAGAGATTAAAAGATTTGCCCAAGATAAGAAAGTCTCTTGTATATCGGTATATAGAATCTAAATCTCCCAATTCCCAGACCTGTGATTTAGCCACATCACAATCCATCTCCTTAAAATACACTCTTTTGCTGCATATTCACATTGTCATCTTGTTATTACTGACCAAGACTTGTTAATAATGACCTTTGTGTTTGGAAATTGATATGCTTATATAGTGACACACACAGCTTATATATATAAATAATGCAGGGCCAGTATATCTTAAATATGTAAATCGTTTAAAATGTTTAACAGCTATAATCAGTATCACTAATACTGTGATTTTTACAGGCCCCAGCTGCCTTAAAAAACAAAGAAATATCCAAAGTGTAGAACCATATCACACCACTTACTGTCACCTTGTGAACTGTTCTTCCTATCTCCTAAGGATGAAATGGAGGGAGTGTGAAGGGAAATTCAATGAGAACTAATGTATGTCACTTGCACAGTAAGCAAACATTTCATATGATAGGTTACCAAAACAAATAAAATTTAAAAAAATGCACTAACAGCAGCCAGGGTCACAGGGAAACAGAAAGAGGTAGAAAGTGGTCTCTTCTCTAATATACAACATTCAGAAGAAAAGGTAGGCTGCTTTTCTTAACTGTAGAAGGACATCTACCGTAAATCTGAATAAAGGTACAGAAAAACGCATATGCCTTCTGAAGGTAACCTTTTCTGCTACAGATCTCAATTTTTTTAAATGAAAGGCAGTTGCATCGTTTTGACATCTTGTTTATGTTTGATAGCATGGCATTCTGCTGAAGAATCCTGTGCTCTTTAGCTACTACAAGATTTTCTGAATGAGAATCAAGTCATGCTTGGTCATGGAATTTGATCTAAAATTTTACCTCTATACCTGTTATATTGCTTTAGGATGATGGTAAGTTTTCAGTTTTGTTCAGAAGAAACTGAGGATGGTCATTGTATGCTTTTACACAGCAACGGATTACTTAGCACAGGGTACATGACAACTCTCATCCTGGGATTCTGCACCAAAAAAAAATGTCTGTGCATAGTATTCTAAAGTTCTGCAAAATTATGCATATTTTATTTATCAAAGTAACACTATATAATCATACCAGTTTCACTTATTTTGGTAGTTTATTTCAAAATAAGTGTCACCAACTATATCTGTAACAAAAACAAAAAACAATATTTCCCCCAGAGTAGAGAGTTAAATAAACTCCTATGACAACCCAGTTTCTGTTCCTCTACCCCCTCTCCCACCAGAGCCCAGCTGCTGGCCCTGCCGAGCCCAGACACCTGTGACCCCCTCCCCCACAGAGCCCAGCTGGGGGGGGGGGCATCTTCCGGAGCCCAAGAATCCAGAGGGAGAAAACCTGGGTCCCAGGCTTGTGCAGAGTTTCCTGCAAGCCACCTTCTTCCTTCAAGAAAAGGAGTACTTGTGGCACCTTAGAGACTAACCAATTTATTTGAGCATGAGCTTTCGTGAGCTACAGCTCACTTCATCGGATGCATACCGTGGAAACTGCAGCAGACTTTATATATACACAGAGAATATGAAACAATACCTCCTCCCACCCCACTGTCCTGCTGGTAATAGCTTATCTAAAGTGATCAACAGGTGGGCCATTTCCAGCACAAATCCAGGTTTTCTCACCCTCCACCCCCCCACACAAATTCACTCTCCTGCTGGTGCTAGCCCATCCAAAGTGACAACTCTTTACATAATCAAGTCGGGCTATTTCCTGCACAAATCCAGGTTTTCTCACATCCCCCCCACATATATATCACATTGGTGGATATATATGGCCATCATGTGCCAGCAATGCCCCTCTGCCATGTACATTGGTCAAACTGGACAGTCTCTAAGTAAAAGAATAAATGGACACAAATCAGATGTCAAGAATTATAACATTCATAAACCAGTCGGAGAACACTTCAATCTCTCTGGTCACGCAATCACAGACATGAAGGTCGCTATCTTAAAACAAAAAAACTTCAAATCCAGACTCCAGCAAGAAACTGCTGAATTGGAATTCATTTGCAAATTGGATACTATTAATTTAGGCTTAAATAGAGACTGGGAGTGGCTAAGTCATTATGCAAGGTAGCCTGTTTCCTCTTGTTTTTTCCTACCCCCCCCCCCCCCGATGTTCTGGTTTAACTTGGATTTAAACTTGGAGAGTGGTCAGTTTGGATGAGCTATTACCAGCAGGAGAGTGAGTTTGTGTGTGTATGGGGGTGGGGGGGATGTGAGAAAACCTGGATTTGTGCAGGAAATAGCCCGACTTGATTATGTAAAGAGTTGTCACTTTGGATGGGCTAGCACCAGCAGGAGAGTGAATTTGTGTGGGGGGGTGGAGGGTGAGAAAACCTGGATTTGTGCTGGAAATGGCCCACCTGTTGATCACTTTAGATAAGCTATTACCAGCAGGACAGTGGGGTGGGAGGAGGTATTGTTTCATATTCTCTGTGTATATATAAAGTCTGCTGCAGTTTCCATGGTATGCATCCGATGAAGTGAGCTGTAGCTCACGAAAGCTCATGCTCAAATAAATTGGTTAGTCTCTAACGTGCCACAAGTACTCCTTTTCTTTTTGCGAATACAGACTAACACGGCTGTTACTCTGAAACCTTCTTCCTTCAGAGTCTGCTGGGAACTGCAGCTCCTCAGAACCTTCAGCTCCTCCTGCCCCTCCCCCACAGCAGTATCATTTATTTGGGGGTTGGGAAAACTGGACTCTCCAGTGGCCCCTAGTGGCAGCCAGCAGCTCTGCAGCACCAATTCTGTGCGGGGGAAAAGGAAATTCTGCATTGCGCAGTGGCACAGATTTCCCCCAGAAGTACATACTCAGATTGTGTGGAATCTAAGCTCTTCTTTAAAAAAGGTTCTCATTCTCATGGCTGCAGAGAACCTCCCAAAGGATAAACAGAGTTTAAATCAAAGTTATGATGTTCAAGTGTCAACATTAAAGACGATCATGGTGATGGCACTGCCAAGCCAACATAAACCAATCATTCTGGTGGACGGAACAGGTTAGGAGGGAGAAAAGCCCTCAAGGAGCAGGAACTGGGAGCTGCTGCAGAAAAGAAAATACAGAAATAAGAGTTTAGATACTACATAAATACTCTATTGTCCCATTGATCTCTGTGGGAATTACCTACTATCATTAGTGTCATTGTGGAAGGAGGGAAGTATGCCATTTTGAATTTATACCTGGTCTCTCAGACCATAATAAAACATGGGATTTGTCCCTCTCATCCAAATGAGCTTCACATCCTTAGTCTACAAGATTTAATTTCCTTTGCATTACTCAGGAAGAAAAGGTTCCTCAGTAATGAGCCCACTTACCAAAAGGAAGATACCCAGTAAGTGAACAAAAATCATCAGCCCTGACTGATTAAAGATCTAAGTACAATCATTTGAAACACAAGGAGAACCCCCACTCACACACTTCCTTTCTCCCCTCCAAATCATTATTTATTCTCTAACCACCATACAACAAAAAATTAGGACTATGGAGATGCCACTGTCAGACAGGGGAGAATGATTTGCAAAGACAACTTTTCTTGACAATTGTGACAAGGCAAAGAGTTTCTTCACATTCCCCTAAACTCATGCCAATTATAAATACATTTCAGAAGCAAGTCTTCCAATCTTTAAGACATTTAGATCTTTAGTATTACACTAAATTACATTAATAATATTTTTATAAAAACAAAGCCCCAATACTCTATTTGTCGGTTTCTCAGCCAGCTGCTATTTCTCATTTCAGCAACACAATGGCTGAAAGCAGAGTTCAGTACCATTAACAAAAAGACTGGCTGATACACAGACCTGTTTAAAAAAAAATGCTATTTCCCTGCCAATTCAGGATTATTCCCTAAGGTACATTTACTAGTCAGTGCCTTTTCCAACCTAATTTTAAGCGTCTAAAAACAGGACCATCACAGTGTGTCTCGGAAGACTGTTTCTGCAGCCTGCTATGTATGTCAGGAATTTATTATATACAGCAGTGGTTCTCAACTAGAGGTACGCATACCCTTGAGGGTACATAGAGGTCTTCCAGGGCGTACGTCAACTCATCTAGCTATTTGCTAGTTTTATAATAGGCTACATAAAAAGCGTTAGCCAAGTCAATACAAACTAAAATTTCATACAATGGCTTGTTTATACTGGTCTATATACACTATACACTGAAATGTAAGTACAATATTTATATTCCAATTGATTTTATAATTATATGCTAAAAACAATCAATTTTTTAGTAATAGAGTGCTGTGATACTTTTGTATTTTTATGTCTGATTTTATAAGCAAGTAGTTTTTAAGTGAGATGAAACCTAAGACAAATCAGACTCCTGAAAGGGTACAGTAGTCTGGAAATGTTGGGAACCACTAGTATACAGGTCACATTTTTCCTTTTTAAAATTTAGTTTCATGATTCTAGTTAGACTAGCAATTTGCTATGACACACAGAAAACTCAAAACTTGTAAAGCATGGTAGACATCCCACCAGGCGGTGTTTATCCCCATCCTTAAAACACCAAAATCAGGGCTTGAAGAATATACCTCTGCCACTATATCATTCCCCCTCAGTCTCTTCTGGGATCTCCTCTCCCTTGAATAATTCCAGTACGTACCTCTGTTAAGACTCAGAGCTTTCCTCAAGCAAAATGTGAAATTTATTGTTTCAATTCTGCCCACCATGTTCTGAATACTAACAATGAAAAAGTGACCTTGTAAATTTCATGATGCTGCTCATCATTTTCCCAGCAGTAAAATCAGGGGAACTGTCTGGCTGCAGATTCAGGATGATGACACTGCTTCAGCTTATATTAATTCACATTTAGAAAGTTATAATTACAGCCAATAGAGCAAGATTGGAGGGGGGAAAAGAAAACCACACAGTGCTATGCAAAATTTATGTATTGTGGCCCTCATTTGCTTTGAAAAGTTTTATCCATTAGGGTGCATGGATTTTTCAAGCAATAATTGAAAGGTTAGGACAAATGTTCACAAGGCTTTACAGATAAAATCTCAAGTACTTTTGCCTGTCCATATACCGTCTCTATTTGTCATTTCCCAGAAAAAAGCTTGTTGTTGTGGCACCTCTAATAAAGAGCCAACCACTATTTTCAAGGGGGCCCAGCTTCACCTGACAATTTTTATCAGACAGTATCTTTTAAAGACTTAGAGACATTTTATCTTGCTATTGTAACATTGTTTCCACAAATGCATTTATATGTTTGTGACACATTGAGATCATATAATACCACTCTGAACAGAGATTTTTTCCAAAACTGCATAGCTCTTAGTACCCATTTTCCTAGCAGGCAGGCAGGACTTCATCCCTATTAGACAGATATATGGAGAATTACCTTTAAAAAAAAAAAAAAGTATTTTTGGTGAGACTATGAAGGTATTTTCTTCCCCAAATTAGTCTTAAGTATTTTACTTGTTCAACTATTGTGTCTCTGGCTTGTCAATTTAAATACCAGAAATGTCTAGTGTTTAAGACCCCAATCCCAAAGACCTACGCACATGCTTAACTTTAAGCTTGTGAATAATATATAGAACTATTCACACCGCTAAGCATGTCCTTAAAGTCTTTACAGAATCACGGTCTAATATCAATGACTAAAGATATTAATAGAAAGAGCCTAATTTTTAAAACAACAGCTGTAAGTTTTAACTAAAATGGCCACTAGCCTAAGATAGTTCTAAGCATCAGAAATTGTTCTTCTCATGGCACATGGGAAGTGAAGCTTGTAGACACGAAAGGTGTGTGATGATTTTGGTCAAATATAAAAAGCCAACACATTATCTACCTCTCCTCCAGAAGAAAGTTCAAGCTCTCTGTAGTTATGTTCACCCACATAATTCAGCCCAAAACACCCGCTCCCAAGTACTTCTCAGAAGTTTTACCCTGATGATCCTCTGGAAAGGATTTTGAAGAGGCATTCAGATGGGGTGTTCAATGGCCACCTTTCTAGAGTCTAGAAGCATGTTGTTCTCTGCCACTGCATGACACAACCCATAAAAAATTAATGGGGGAGGAGGGGGAAGAGAGAGGGAGAGAACCACACCAGGGTCTCACGTCTATTACAGAAAAGCGTTTGCAGCTTACACCTTCTCGGAATATTCATTATTTCCACACCAATGGCAAGAAGAGTTTCATTTGATGAACTGAATCAGACCACTAGCCATCCTTATTTCCCTAATAGGTATGAAAACCCAAGGCCTCTGGCAGCTTCCAGCTGACGCCATCGCTAATTCCACACCCCCTTTTTTGACAGGATCCGCCAGACTGAGCTGTTGCTGCCGCCTTCTCTACGAAGCCTACACCAGAGCTCCAAGCCCAAGGTCGGGCTTCCGCTGTCGGGGGTGGCCGCGGGCATACTCCCTTAGAGACACCGCTAACAAGCCAACGTATTGACTGGGGGGAGCGGGGAAGAGAGGCAGCCATTCCGATCAAAGAGTAACTCAACATTACAACCATTTCCTGCTCCCCGCGCAGCAGCTTCAGGGAGACCCAAAGCCCGAGAAACCCCCACCTGCCAGCCACGCCCTCCCTCCCCGCCGCGGTGCAGTCCCCTCCCTGTCCCCCTCCAGGCCCTGCCACATCCCCCCTTGGATTGCTCCCCCACTCCTCCCATCACCGCCTCCTCAGTCACCCTCCCTCCACGGCCTCCACTGAAACCGGCGGCTTCTCAGGTGTCCCGGCCGGGCAGGTTTGAGGGGTCCGTCACCCTGCGCCGCAGAGCGCAGCCCCGGGCACCCACCTTTCTGCAACAGCAGCTTCACCTCGCCGTTCTCCTCCCGGCCGGCCGCACTCAGGCCGCCTCCCGCCGCCAGGGCCCCGTGCTTCCTCTTCTCCTTGTCCCGCTTCTCCTTGGGCCTCTTGGGTTTGCTGGTGCTGCCGCTGCCAGCCCCATCGGCGGCCGGGTCCAGGCGATGCCTGTGGTGGCGGTGCTGGTGCTGCGGGTGGGAGGGGGCCGGCAGCAACACGGCGGGCGGCAACAGCTTGCCGTGCAGTTGAGAGGGGAAAGCGAAGCCTCCCCCGCCCCCAGGTGGGCCGGCAGGGAGCGCCGCGAAGCCCCAGGCGGTGGGGCCGCCGTAGCCCGACGCTGGCGGTGGTGGCGGCTGCCTATTGCTCCCGCCGCCGCCCCCTTCGCCGTTGACGCGCTTGGGGCCCTTCAGGCCCTTCTCGTCAGCTCCCTTCAGCCTCTTGGCGGCCGGCTGGGGCCCCCGCGAAGCCTTGGCGGCCGGAGGCGGCCTAGCGCCGAACGACTCCTGCTCCGGCGGCGCCGCGCCGCGAACGGGACTGGAAGACTCCGCCATTTTGGGCTCCTGCTTCTATTTACTCTCCGCTCGGATCAACCGATCGCACCGGGAGGGGCGGGGAGCAGGGCGGTGGCGCCGTGGCCTCGCCCAATGGGAGGGGGAGGCGCCGGAGAGACAAGGCGCCCAGCCAATCGCAGGGGAGAGGAGCGAGCTGCGAGGCGGATAGGGAAGGCGGGCTCGGGTGAGTGCGCAGTTGGTGGGTGAGGGGTGGCAGGGCTGCTGTCTTGGACAGCTCAGCTGCTCGCGGGGCGGAGACACTTGAAGCGGGAGTCGGCAGGAAGGGGAGGCTGAGGGGAGCGAGCGACCGCGCGGCAGCCTGAGGGGCAGGCAGGGCGCGGGAGGTGGCTGGGACATGGAGCACAGCGGCTCCTCCCTGAGGCAGGGCTGGGGCCCCTAGCGCACCACCGACGCCTGCCTTGGGTGCACCCAGCGTGCACGCAAGTGGAGGGAGGCTGGCGGCAGCGTCCCAGGGCAGGCCCTGCGCAGCAGCAGGGGAGGAATAGCTCATGGGGGTCAGCACGGGGCGGGGATGAAGAGACTGTTTCAAGCGGGGCAGATTATGCCACTTGAGAGGGGTGCATAGTAACCTGGATCTTCACATGGCCCTGCTCCAGCCGGGGTGCAGCATCGGGGGCCGCTCCACGGAGCTCCCAGAAGCAGCTGCATGGCCCCACTCCGGCTCCTACGCTCTCTGATGGGTCCCTCCAGCACTCCAATGGGAGCTGCAGGGGTGGTGCCTGCAAGCCGCCTGGCTGCGCCTCTGAATAGGAGTCGGAGAAGGGACATGCCGCTGCTTCCGGGAGCTGCTTGGGGTAAGCGCTGAGGCCAAGCGGCTCTCCCCACACTCCAACCCCCGGCCCCAGCCCTGATCCCCGGCCCCAGCCCTGATCCCCCGCCCAACCTCCGAACCCCTCGATCCCAGCCCACAGCATCCTCCTGCATCCCAAACCCCTTAACCCCAGCCCCACTACAGAGCCCGTGCCTCCAGCTGGAGCCCACACCCCTTCCTGCACCCCAACCCCCTGCCCCAGCCCTGATCGCCCTCCGGCCCTCTGAACCCCTCCGTCCCAGCCTGGAGCATTCTCCTGCACCCCAAGCCCCTCCTCCCCAGCCCCACCCCAGAGCCTGCATCCCCAGCCAGAGCCCTCACCCTCCCCACTCCCCCACCCCAGCCCGGAGCCCCCTCCAGTACCATGAACTCCTCATTTCTGGCCCCACCCCATACCCCACACCCCCTCCCATACCCCAACCCCAATTTTGTGGGCATTCATGGCCCACCATACAATTTCCATTCCAAGATGTGGCCCTTGGGCCAAAAAGTTTGCCCACCCTTGGCTTAAGAGGTACCCAAATTCAGTGGAGATTCTCACCCTAAATAATCAAATGAGATTAACTTGGCTCCTAATATTAGGATCCTTCGAGCCACATGAGGGAGCTTAGAACTTCAGAGAGTGACTGAATCTGCAATAGCTGTAATTGTATCTTGTTTAATTTTACCATTTTAAATGGCTAAACCTTTCCTAATGTGACAATCACAATTACATCTTCATATGATTGATTTTTTTTTTCTAACTTGGCTTTTTTGTTCATGTGAAATGTTTTCGATCAGATTTTTTCTTCTATTGAGAAGTTGTAAGAATAGATCTATAATCACAGGGATGGAGAAAACTTGAGAAATATTTATACACACAATTTGAACTCATAATTTATCTCATATTTCAAAGGTAATCTTCTTGGCTATAGTCTTTTTTTAACATCCAGGGGAATTTAGAGACAAGTTGAGAGGTCGTCAGTATTTTTCCATGAATATAATAGAAAATGTTGAATGGTTAAATTGCTAATATAAATTTGAATACAGGATAAGCACAATCCGATGAAGTGAGCTGTAGCTCACGAAAGCTCATGCTCAAATAAATTGGTTAGTCTCTAAGGTGCCACAAGTACTCCTTTTCTTTTTGCGAATACAGACTAACACGGCTGTTACTCTGAAACCTGTCACTTCATACAAAGATCTCTTTACATACCTGGATTGTAAGCTCCTTGGAGCAGCCACCATCTTGTTCTGTGTTTGTACAGTGTCTAGCACGGGGTGGGCAAACTTTTTGGCATGAGGGCCATATCAGGGTTCTGATATTGTATGGAGGGCCAGGTAGGGAAGGCTGTGCCTCCCCAAACAGCTTGGCCTCTGCCCCCTTTCCACCCCCTTCCACTTCCCGTCCCCTAACCATGCTCCAGGACCCCACCCCCCTATCCAACCTCCCTGTCCCGACTGCCCCCACCCCTATCCACACCCCGCCCCCTAACAAGCCCCCCAGGACTCCCACGCCTATCCAACTGCCCCCTGTTCCCTGACTGCCCCTATGGACCCCCTGCCCCATATCCCCCCCCCCCCCGCTCCCTTACCATGCCACTCAGAGCACCAGGACTGGCAGCCGTGCCGCTCGGCTGGAGCCAGCCACGCCATCATGCAGTCCCGCTGCCCAGAGCGCTGGCAGCATGGCGAGCTGAGGCTTCAGGGAGGGGGGACAGCAGGGGAGGAGCCGGGAGCTCAAGGGCCGGGCAGGACAGTCCCACAGGCCATATGTGGCCCACGGGCTGTAGTTTGCCCACCTCTGGTTTAGCACAATGGGGATCTGGTTCATGATGAAGGCTCCTAAGCACTATGGTAATACAAAAGAAAATAAAAGAATCAGACAATTTACTGTGTCTTTTGCATCAATAGAGAAAATCCCACTAGATTTAGAGTTTAGTGTTCAGTAAATACTACTCCTGTTACAATTATTTTTTATTTATTATGTTGGAACTGTTTTGGGAAGCTTAATACGAATCTCATTCTAAGATTTTGTACTGTCAGGATGGTACCCTAGATTTCTCTTTTAGTCAGTCCTGTAGAGACATACATGCATACATAGTAACTGCAGTCCTCGTTTTCTAAATTGCCTTAGAATCAAAACCATGACACTCAGTTCCACCTAAAATTCCTTCAAGATCTCACCCTTTTAGATTTATTCATTTCCATGGGTTTTATATGTGACAGATTCAAACAATTTTACACTATTCATAGTTAATCTGGTAGAATCATAGAAGATTAGGATTGGAAGAGACCTTAGGAGGTCATCTAGTCCCACCCCCTGCTCAAAGCAGGACCAACACCAACTAAATCATCCCAGCCAGGGCTTTGTCAAGCAGGCCCTTAAAAACCTCTAAGGATAGAGATTCCACCACCTCCCTAGGTAACCCATTCCAGTGCTTCACACCCTCCTAGTGAAATAGCATTTCCTAATATCCAACCTAGACCTCCCACACCTCCCTGTTCTGTCATCTGCCACCACTGAGAACAGCCGAGCTCCATCCTCTTTGGAACCCCCTTTCAGGTAGTTGAAGGCTGCTATCAAATCCCTCCTCACTCTTCTCTTCTGCAGACTAAACAAGCCAGTTCCCTCAGCCTCTCCTCGGAAGAGCTAGACTTGTGGTTAGCCCTGTGCTGTTTCACAAGAGAAAAAGCCACATTGCACACTGGCAGTGCTAGCCACCTCAAAAGGGGAAAACACCTGTGACCTACCCCCTCCAAAACTTGCATAAAGGGAAACATAAGGGCCACCCTGTACCCAGGTGGTACAGTGGCTGTGCTCCTTGGAACTCCAAGAAGAACTGTGCCTGCTCAAGAAGCCACAATTGAGTTCAAAGTAGCCAGTCTTCTATACAGTACCATTGTGTAGGTTCTAAGCTGACATTGAACTGAAAACTTGCATGAAGTTCACAAATTCTGTCATCTGGGATTTGTTATTTTGACAGTTTTTAATGACTTTTCTTAAGCATAGCCTGTCTCTCTTTGATTAAATCAACATTGACTACAATGTTATGAACTCCAGTTTTCCAAAAGTCCCTTGTATTAGTCAAAATGCCCTTGTCTCCCAACCTAATAGTACACTATTGTATCCAAACCTCCTGACTTAACTCCAGATTTTATTAAGTTTTGCATGTCCTCCTGAGACTTGTAAAATTGAGGTTTACATGTAATTTAATCAAGTGCCCCGATCAATCTGCAATCAGTGTAAAAATATTAATGCAACTAATAGTTAAATTGATATGTCTGTATTATCCAGAACTTTCCTAAATAAGACCTATCTAGTACTTTCCAAGCATAGATCTTAAGGCCTTTTACAAATGGGCTGAGTATCAAACATTGAAACTGACAAAAAGGTGCTGAGCTGAGTATCAAACGTTGAAACTGACATAAAGGTGCTGGGAACAGAATCCAATTCTCTGATTACCAATCTCTCCCTGTGTCCTCTGAGCCACAGTACTTCCCCTTCATCTACTCATTTTACTATTAGAAGTCATTTACTGTATATAGAAATCATAAATGTACAGAATGCTTTACAATTATAGATTAAGACATGTTCAATCTCCCAAAGATGTTATATTTTAAATAAAACAAAACAGTGGGGGGAAAAAAGAGGTGAGATTGCTTGAAGAGGTGGTTTTACTAGAATAGATACGAAGGACATAGTGTGTACTTTGTGGTTGAAGCCTGAGATAAAAGGGGGAAGGAAAAATTAGATCAGAGAAGGTGGACCAAAGTATTGTGAAAAGCATAAGGAATGACAAAAAAAGTAGGGGGAAGTGAGAGCTGAGATGTAGGTGGAATGATGCTGTATAGCGCCTTTCAGACTAGGACTAGGAATTTGAATTGAATTCACTGAGAGACAAAGCCAATGACAGGATTTAAAGAGGACAGGGATGTGGTTGGTGTTGAGGAAGAGAAAGATGATTTGCAACAATATTATAGGCAGAGTGAAGAGGCATTGAGGTGCAGTGAAGCAAGACAGAAGTTGAGGAAATTAAGGTGAGAAATTACTAATTTGTGGAGGATTTTAGCAATAGAGATGATAATGGGAGGATTTTGATTCTTATATAGTATATATATTCTTATATATACTATAAGGGGGATCCAATGGATAAGGGGACTCCAGTGGATATAGTGTATTTAGATTTTCAGAAAGACTTTGACAAAGTCCCTCACCAAAGGCTCTTAAGCAA